CCAAATAATGCCAAAGAAAAAGGTAATTTCTGGGTCTCAATGTTAAGAAACATAAAGTGTTAGACTGTACCTATTAATGCTCACTATTCCAACCATTTTTTTTCTTTTTAAAGTTTTACAAAATGAATTACTGTCACTTTTTAAACATTGTGTAAGAAGAAATGAGTGTGCACAACTCTACACTTTTCTAGCATTCTTGAACTAATTCACAAATGCAAGAAAATGGAAAAAAATAATGGGAAAACAAACAAAAACAAAAAAAGATGAATGTAGGTAGTTCGATGTTATAAACTATACAGGAATGAAGCGCTTGTTGCCACAGAAAGAACAGGGATGGGACCTTCCCCCTGTTCAATTTTGCGTGCTAAGAGGGTCATTTTTTACTCTTTTATTATAAACACTATTAAATTCCGACTGCGTTTTTGGTTTTTTTTTTTCTCCTTTATCTGAATATACAAGAACATTCATTATCAAATGTTCGTTATCATCAATACTACAAAGAACGAGACACAAATCGCAAGAAACAATGGAAAATGTTAATAAAGCTGAAAGAATCATTGAGTTTTTTTTGTGGCTTTTTTTTTTGTTTTTATTTTTTTATTTTTTTTTTTTTTTTTTTCTGCAGGTTTTTTGTTAGTTTTTTTGTTTTTTTTTTTTTTGTTTTGTTTTGTTTTGTTTTTTTGGTATCGAAGTCAGGTTTTTCTGGGCAGAAAAAAATAATAATAAAAAGAAGAAGAAAAAAACCCACAACACTTGGGGCTGGGGGAAGGGGCAAAAGGGGAGGAGAAACAAAACCCAAAAATAAAAAAAGCAAAGAAAAAGGCAAGCAAGCAGCTACGCCAACACAAACTGGAGGGACCAACTAGGGAACCCAGGAGGTGATCTGCAAAGTACCATGGAGGAGCGAGCGCCCTGCCCGGAACAGGGGTGCTGTGGGCAGGGAGTGCAGGCAGGAGGGGCAGCAGCTGCAGGGCAGGGGAAGGCAGCCCCAGCATGGGCTGGCTCCAGTCAGCGGGTGGTTCTGGACCGTTCCTGGTTGCTTTCCAAGAGGTACCATGGCATTCCCACAGGCATGGCACTGCTGCCACTCCAGAGAACAGACCTGACCCTGTCCTCTGTCCCTGAAATGCTTTGCCGGAACGGTTTCATATAAAATAACCTGGAAATAGTGAAAAGGCTGCACTGTGGGAAGTCACGGGAAGAGGAGAGCAGGAAGGTGCGCAGCTTGGGAAGATGGGCAACACCTCCTAACCATCCTCTTAGAGAAACCAGCTTCTCATTGCTCTTAAGATATTCCCAGCTGGGAGGCAGCCCTAGACCTTGCCCGTCACATTGTGCTCAGCATCACAGTCCCCAACCCTGGGCATGGACCCAAAAGGAACACAGAGTGTCCCATGACTTGCAATATAAAAACCAAGCAAGAGGCAGCTTGCGCTGTTTCTCATCTATCTTTTGCATCCTACTCTGAAAAAATCCACTGAACTGGGACCTCTCATATCTGGGGAAAGGTCACAAATGTCAGAGCAGATGTTTTGGAGCCTCCTGGGCTTGTTCCCCATGGAAAGGCAGTCTTCACCTCCACTTCAAGTGAACCACACGGCTGGCCCTGAGCTGCAAGGTGACAGCATGTCAGAGCTGTGGCCACACCACTGCTGTGGCCTGCAGGCCAACCATCATTATTATTCCCACCAGAAGGGCAGAATATTTTTTGGCAGAGCTGTAATTTTAAGTGGTTCCTCCTTAAGGCTGCTCTGCACTGGAAGTTCCCATCTCAAGATAGCTGGCACCAGCACGGGCAGGGTGGGCACGGATATGCAAGTGCATGAGGTGTGGCCAAGAGGTCTTCAGATCCATCACAAGATGCTATTTATACTGCACCCACAGTGATCCCTATGACACCCAGGGTCTTGCCACAGGATGGCTGAACCTGCTCACACCCACTGGAAGAACCAGTGGCCAAAAGTACCACCATGGCACAAAGCTCAGCCCGTTGCCAGGGGCAGACTGGTGCCTCCTCACCCTGTTCTTCAATGAAAGCCATGTTGTCCCAGCGTCAGCTTCCTGAAGAGGTGTTTCAGCAGGCTGAAGCCTTGCTTACCAGCTACCACCAGCTGTCCAAAGAGCTGCATTAACCATTACTGAAAGCACCCACTGCGCTCACCCCACCACATCCAGCCTCTAGGATCCTGCTGCCCATCCCTTGCTGCTTGCCTGGCAGGGCTTTGGGAATGCAGCAAATGCCATCATCCTCTGTGGGTCCTGCCTGCACTGGGGAACCCACCTCCTCCTGCAGCGCAGCACGGTCCCAGAAACACAAACATCCTGTGACACTTTCCTCACTAGGAATACATCCGCTGCCAGACTCCCTAGGTACTGTGAGAAAACTGCTAGGTGTGCACCACCGTGGAGGTGCTCAGTGTCTTTGTAATCAGTGATGCCTATTTCTCACCTGCTTCTGCCTTGTTTCCTTCCCTCCTCTCCTCCCCTCCAACAGCAGGCAGAGAGGACGGAGGGGTTTCATGGCTCATCCAGCCCACAGCAGCCAGTGAGATTTGTGGCAGAGCAGGGCAGGGACCGGGAAGTGCTGTTAGTTTACTCTGGGCTGGGAATAGGCTGGTACCTTTTGGAAGCAAAGGGGAGCATGCCGACTTCTTCTCCTACATGCACAGAGACTGTGACCACCCACCCATCACCGGCAGTGCCCAGGGAACAGCTCACCAAGGCAGGGCTGGGCGCAGGGAGGCAAGGTGCTGGCTGCGGCCAGGGCTGGTGGAGACAAGGCGGCAGCAGGGCTGCGGTGGCATTTCCCTACGGAGAGGTAGCGTGAGACGGGAGGAGTAAGGGAGGCTGCCTGCTAGTAAAGGAGTGAGACATGACTGAGGTACGTTTGTGGCTCCTCAGAAAAGATGCCCAGTGTGAGGCTGTACACTGCTTTGGGGTCGTTTTGTGTGGTGGCAGTTGATTTTTGCTTTTCCTCCTTAAAATCCTTCTACCTGTTGACATATCCTTCGGTGGGAAGGAGTGAGGGGAAGGGAGTGGTGTTGTGGCGGTGGCAGGGAGGGAGAGAGCGGCTTCTACCCAGAAAAGAAAGGGAAGAGAGTATAAAGAAGTGTCCAGATTGGCTGAAAAAAGCATCCCGACGAAGAGAAGAGAAGAGAAGGAGTCTTCTTGTGTGTGCTGATTGGGTTCACCTCCAGTCTGACTGCTGCGGTGTTAGGAGAGGCCCCCTCCCCTCCTGCCCCCGCCGGAGCCGGCTCAGCCAGGGATGCAATTTGCTGGGAGATCAGTTGGAGGTATCAGAGTGAACGCTGCCAGGGCCTTCTGTGGGGGAGGTCACCGACGATGGGGTAGTAGCGTCTTGCCAACCTCCATTAGCCTGCAGGAAGGGAGACATGGAGATGTCAGTCACGCAATAGCACACCCAGCCCTACCCAAGCCACCTATCCACTTCAGACCCCCTGGCTTCTCCCTCAGCAAGCGCTGATGTAGCAGGCAAAGCTGTCCCATTTGGCTTCCCCATCCCACTGTGGACCATAGGGCTCCATCAGTGGGATGGGCCAGAAACAATTCTATTGAAAACAGAGGTTTTGATGAATTGCAAATGCTCACGAAAATTCTGTTCCTGAAATGTTATCTGGACCCAGGTGCTATGAACACACAGAACAATAGGTTCCAAGGGACTGCTGTGCTGTGTTCCCCAGCACATCTCCATGTTCCCCTTCGCTGCCTTTCCAGGCACCCCTCCTGCTGCACAGTTCCCTGCTCCTGATATGCAGGGGAAGGCATGAGCTCCCAAGCCTTGTGACAGGAAAGACACATTGTCCAAACACCTCTTCTGCCACTGTTGTATTCCAGGATCTGGGCCACCTCTCTGCTTCCAATGCAAAGTGTTCCCCTTCTTGCTTTATAATAAAACCAGAAACATATTTCTGCCACTCAGGGCTGATCCTCCATGCTCCCTGTCACCCCTCCTTGAGGGATCCTAAGGCACAGCGCCACGGAGGTGCTACCACCATATCCCATCCCAGGGTTTGTACAGCAAAGTGTGTCAGACAACTTGTTTCTTCTCCTAAAAACAGATGCACAGACAAATTCTCCATCTCTCAAGAGCAGAGCTACTGGAGGGCTCCACTACTGCAGGCAGTGCACAGAAGCTGTTCCTCCACAGCTGCCATCCACTTTGGAGAGGAGCAGATGTCGCACCCAACCTCCTCTGCTCACTCTGACATTGATTCAGTGCTTGGCTAATTAATCCTTCCCAACCACTGCCCAAGCTCAAGTAAGTAGCAGTTGCTCTCCCACTTCAAATGTGCTGTGGCTGCTTTGTCCTCTCTGGCTGCCTGTCCCACTGCCTCCTGGCACAGGACATCCACCACTGGCCGCACTAGCCGGGGCCCCACAGACCCTGAAGTGGGGGGTAAGGGTAGGAAAAGCCTCATGGACCCAAAGCACAGAGTCTGGGACTTGCTGGTGGGTTGTCCACACTGCTGACCAGCTCCTGCCTGCCCGAAAGGCAGCTGAAATGGGAGGAAAGAGCTGTCCCCAGGCGGGCCGTGGGAACCTATGTTTTGAGGGATGAAACCACCACACAGCAGGACATGCACAAAGCAACAAAGACAGAGGCATGCACATACGGCTTGCGTGTTCTTCCATGCATGCATGGGGTTCCAGCAACAGCAAGGAAGACAGGAATTGTGACCTGAGCCTGCTAGCAGGTTAGCAAGTCCCACTCCACTTTGGGTACAAGCATGAGACCAGACTATGCACAAACATGACCAGCCCCATGTACCCCCCGCCTGCAGAGACCACGGGTTGACTGTGCCCATAGCCATCATCAGCTTCCATCTGCACCCGGGCCCCGACCCACCATCCCTGCACTCCACCATCCCTGCACTTGCGAGATGCAATATCCACCCTTACACATCTTGGACCACTGCAAGAGGCAGCAATTACTGTAGATTATCAGGCCGACAATGACAGGCCGCGTAAAGAGAGACACAGAGCCAACTCCACCGCCCTGAGACTGGCATATTCAAGTACGCTTAGGACATTAATAGCAATTTACGTGCCATCAGTGAGAGAGAACCACAATAGCTATGCTGGCAGCCTCTTATTACCAAGCCTGTTATTTGTTGGAGTTACAAGCTATAATCACAACAGAAACTTTCAAAACCCTTATCTTCCATGACGCACCAAATCTATTTCAGAGCCGTAATTGCTATGTCACCGGAGAGTTTGCTGCTTAATGCACTCAGATGCCATTTAGTGTTTGCAGGGTCATTACAGTGAGCAGGAGGGGAGAGAGTGGAGGGGGCCACATGGAGCAGGCTCTGTCCCTATTGTGTTTAACTATTTTTAGCGAGCCTTTGGCGTGCCAGCCCCTGTTGGAAGGAGTGAGAGGGAGAGAGTCTTGCAGACAGGGACTGCAGGCTTAGCACCCTCCCTCCCACAATGTTGGGGAGCCCCACGGTACTCCAGATTGGGAATCAGCCTTCAGGTGCTGTGGGAGTTCATGGTGTTGATGACCACCAAGCCAAGAAGATGTTGGGGAAAGGCTGTCTTGGATCAGGGAATCTTCCACCTATCCCACACTCTCCTGCTCCCCCAGACTGGGAAAGCCCCAAGGTTGGCCATGACTTTATCATCTTAATGCTATCCTTTGGTACAGACAAGCCCTCCATTAGGAGGTGAGACCCTTCACAAAACAAAGGGCATACAGGCACCGTTTACACTCATCTTTCCTTTCCTGGAGTTCACCCTGTTGCTGCATGGACCAAGACACACGTGGGATCTATCCAATTCTACACGGCCAGGCCCTGCCTCCTTCTGAAGCAAGACGATCCCTTGGTATCTGACTGCAGTAAGGATCTCACTCAAAAATGAGGAAGTCTTCTGAGAAGGCTGCTCCTCCTCACAGACCTTCTGAGGAGCCCCTGCACACAGCTGTGACTTCTTCAGGACACCAAACCAGAGCAATGGTCTCCAGGACATCTCTTCATATGTCACCTTATGATGCCAGAGCACAGACAAAGCCTTGGTGACTGTCCAAGTGATGGAGCCCCAGTGATGGATGGCTGAAGCAACTGGTTTTGGTGCCCATTTCCACAAGGTCTCCCAGAATTTTTGTCACCTCCAGCAAGGCTGGCTGGCTCTCTGCCTGGGCCTCCAACATGGGCCTGGGAGATGACTCTGCAAGTTTTTAAAGGCACCTCCTGCTGTACAGAGAGGTTGTCTCGACATCCCACCTTCTGTGACCAAATCCTTGTCCCACCATTGACAAGGCAGGGTGTCAGGTCAGTTCCAAACACAGCATATACTAGCAAGTCTAATAGACAGGCAGTAGCCTCAAAGAAGTTTCAGACCTCTGCACTTTTAAGAGCTTTTATCAGGGTCTCCTTATGATACACACTGAAGCTGTTATTACACACCACTTTGTCTGGCCATCACTTTCCAAGGTTCACAGCAGCAGTCTTCAGAACACACCAAGGCATCCCTGACAGATGGAGGTCAGGGACTGAAGCCCTGTTGGACAAAACTTCCATATCCCAGCTTGTGAACATGATCATGAACCACAGCTTGATCATAATGCTGAACTGTAGCTTGCTGAGGAACAGAGCAACAACTTTCATTTCAAGGCTCAAATTCTTAATAGAAAAAGGTCTCAGCATAAGCAAGAAGGGCTCACCTCCTACAAGTATCAGTGCCCAGTGATCCTTGTCAACAACAGGGGATGCAAAGCTCAATGGCACACCCTGCTGCTGACCACCACCACACAAACATTGCTCTGTAAATAGGTACAGATCTGCACAACAGCATTTTAAATCAAAAACCTTGCACTCTGATGATCTTTAAAAACAGCCCCTCATTTAGACTTATATGACCTATAAATTAAGTCCAGAAAGAAATTTCTGAAACAGCTTTCTTTAAGATTACTATAGCTCATTTCACTCATTAGCAGACAGGGGAACTAAAACACTTGGTGGATTTACGACCACAGGGCAGTGGCAAAAAGGGTGATGTTTTGGGTTGCGACCCTCCAGAGGACTCTGGTAATAAAGATCCAGCTTCTACTGGAACCCACAAGAATCTGGACTTCTAAATACTTTGAAACCCTTATCCTGGGACCTCCACCTGTGTACAAATGCAGGACAACCCTCTGTGCAGACGGACGAGACACTTAACACCTCTCACTTTATGGTGCAAAATCCTTCAATCTCAAAGCTTGCAAAAAGGGCTGGATCAGGCCCCAGTCATCCCCTCCTTTCAGGTGGGGGGGTCCCTCCTTCTTCCCAGTGTTACCCAAGGCTGGGTATCCTGAAGACGGTTCCAGCCCTTATCAGCCATCCATCGCCAAGTGCATCCCTGTCCCTTGCCAGTAGTGGTGCTACCTCACTGTCTCCACCTGTGGAGGAGAAGGCATCTGTTCTTGCTCTGCCTCAGTCATCACTGTGGGTCACGGAGATCGTGATGGCTGGGACATCGCCCATTATCCTGCTAACGATGCAGAACTGACTCCAGCCCTTTTCGCCCCGCAGAGCGGTCTGTCAGCCGTCAAGCAGCAGAGCCACGGAGGGACTGGGCTTTGGGTAGATTCCTGTTCTCAGCTGTCATGACTTACATGCATTTAAAAATTCATCCCCCATCAAGGAAGGCAAACCCCGAGCATTGTCTCCCCTGCCAAGGTTTGCAGTGGTGGAGCTGGGCAACCTGCCGCTGACTTCCCAGCCCTGACAGGCTCTGGGGATGACTTAACCTCAGCCCGGTGCAGACACTGTTGTGACAGGGCTCTTGACTAGGTTTCGGCTCATCTCCTTCCAGCAGCTCATGGGGATGCTGAGATGACGTGGGGATGGCAGCTTTCTGTGTCACTAGCAGCTTTCCTCCACATCCTGCTGCCCTTCCTTGGCAGTAAAGGGTTCAGGGGAGAAGCAGGGAAGCCCTGCGTGTTAGGAGACAGCCACCCTGCCTGCACTGAACAGCTCCCCAGGACATTGCCAAGGACCAACACTTCCTAGAGGATGGACATACTTCAGGAGTAGACAAACTGGGGTTCATCAAGAGACCTAGCTGGATAGGAAATGATTAAACAACAATAAAAACAACAGGCAGGAGCATGCTGGCCAGGATAAGGGGGAAGCAAAACATTTGGGGACAGACAACCCAGAAAATGCTTCCTAAACTATTCACTCAGCTCTGGACTCCCTGCCTTGCTCCCCATGCCTACTGCATCTTTATGGGAAAATGAGGCATCATCCCTGAACCTGAACACTCTGCCCACTTGCTACCCTGCTCCTCTTTGAACAACATAAAATTTGGACCTATTTGGGCTCCTGCCCTCCCTGAAAACCAGCCTGAGGAGCCATGAGATGCCACCATGCTGGATCTCCTTTGGGAAGCGCAGGAGGAACCACCGAACCCCTGCCACTCTCAGCTCACCAATTCCCAGCACTACTCATGGTAACCACTGGTTCTCTCATTACCACAGCCAGAAACACCAGCCCAGCTCTCCTTTTCTTATTCAGCTTCTGCGTTTCCACTACCTCTTTCTTGTTCTTTCCTCTATTGCTCCCTCCCTGCCTCGTAATCCTCAGCAGCAACCCTCCCCCCCAAATTTTGGCTTACCCAGCCCACTGTTATTTTCGAAGCCAACTGCAGCTATAATCAGCTCAGCCTCTTTCCTTGGGGGTATTTTAATTTATACAAAAGTATCATCTCTTATCATGATCAGCCTGCGATTCATTTACTTTCCAAGTACTAAAAAGCCAGAAAGGGAATAAATTCAGCACACAGAGAAATTAATGCAGAACGATAGGCTCTTTCATGTGGCATTTCCAAGTGCCGTTTTTGCAATGGGCTTATGTAATGAGACATAATTATCTGCACATGTTCAATTACATTACTTCACAAATCCTCCCTGCCTCTGCCTCCTGACGTCAAGCCACCCACTAAGCCCCAGCTCCCGCAAGAAAGGGGACCGCAGTCCCCTGTCCCACTGCACCCCTCTCCCTATACCCTTTCCCCATGCCAGCAGCGGCTGCTTGCATGCCAATGGCCCAAAGATGGTCACATGCAAGGTGACAAATGGCATAAGCCTTGGCCAGGAGGGTGATGGGACTCGATGGTGCACCCTGCTGGGATGCTCACCCACAGGACCACTCTCCCACCTGGAGGATCAATGCCTTCCTGCCTAGTTTGAGACTATTCCCCCTCAACTTTCAGCCTCCACGATGGGGACTTCTGCAGCCAGCCTCCCCCTCTTCCATGCCATCCCTGGACACCACTGCCACCACCCACTTGGCGCTCACAGCCTCCTTTTCCAGGCTGCCCTCTTCTCCCAGCTTGCTGTCACCGCTGCTGAGATGGCAGACGATTGATCTGAGAAATGAAGTTGGATTGCTGTCCCGAATCTACACTGGGTTCTCCTTGTGTGTGTCTGATCGATTTCCCCCTGTGCGACACAGCTTGTCGCTACGAATTTTCATGCTAGTCAGAACCCGCCAGCACACCCAAGAACAAGGAGAAGATGCTCTGGAAACCGCCCTCCCCCTTGCATCCTCCCCCAGCCCAGTTGGGCGAGGTTTTCTTGGGTTGACATTGGCTGGCTTTGTTGTTTTGTTGTGGGGTTTTTTTTCTCCTTTTATTTGCATTCATTATTGCCACCAACCCCATTGCCGCTGTGCTTTCAGATGCTGGCCAGGGAATGGGTTATTTTTAGATGGTAGCTCTGGGATGGTGCCACTGGCCTCCGCATGGAGCCATCTCTGGACTGGGGCATCGGTGGTGACATTCCCCACCGTGGCTACATGAGGTGTCACCTGTTTAGCAGCTCCTCTCGGTCGAGCGCGTGTGGCCGCAGGTGCCAGGCAAACATTGATCAGCTCTGACAGTCCGAGACGCCAGCTGCCTGCACAAAGCGTGCCCGGTCGCCACTTTTTTTGTGGGCAAAGCTCTGCCGTTGGCGTGACCGATACAGAAGCAATAAACTAGGTGACCGTAAAAGCAAAGACAAGTCCTACTAAGTGGCATTCTGAGCCCTATGGCTTTGAAATAATTGGTACTGAGAGAACAAAAAAAAAAAAAAACGAAAAACCAAAAAAAAAAAAAAAAAAAAAAACGAAAACCCAACAACCACCCAAATACCAAGAACCCAAGCCTATTTTTTTTTTTTTCTTACACTGATGCCCTGCGGACTATACATCTGACTTGCTGCGAGTCCATCACTGTATCCTCCTGTCTGGCTGATAACATGGCGAAGGGTATCCACCTAAACAGACCAACGACAAAAAAGACACAAATTAGAGTGAATGAAAGGTTAGTGGGCACAACAACCACCCAAATACCAAGAACCCAAGCCTATTTTTTTTTTTTTCTTACACTGATGCCCTGCGGACTATACATCTGACTTGCTGCGAGTCCATCACTGTATCCTCCTGTCTGGCTGATAACATGGCGAAGGGTATCCACCTAAACAGACCAACGACAAAAAAGACACAAATTAGAGTGAATGAAAGGTTAGTGGGCAAAGATGCTTTGGTTCATCTTTGGCAAGGTAAAAATGAACAGTAGTAGTAGTAATAATAATATTAATACTAATAATAACAATAACAGTGGTATATATTTAAAGAGGGTAAAGAGAACCACAGTTGCTCTTGCAGTGAGAGCCGAGCCAGAGGGCTGGCTGCTCCTGCCTCCCTCATCACGACCCCCTGTCTGCCCTGGTGGCCCCGTCATGCATTCCTCAGTCCGAAGTCTTTCAATAGAAAGAGCAGAGAGGGAGAACAGCATGGCAAGTGTGGGGTGGGACCCTCCTGGAGCACAATGATGCAGCCGGTTGCATCATCATGCTTGAGGACACACATTCCTACCCCTTCTACCCTTTGGCCCCAGGCACTGAGAAGCTTACAGAAGTGGAAGGAGATCCTTGGAGTCAGCTGACCGCCTTCATTTTGGAGGGCCCATAAAGGAAACATACCTACCATGGCAAAGGCACTGGCAGCTCTCCTCTGGGCACCCCATCACTCTCCCTCCTCTCACCCAGCCCAGCCCAGCCCCAGCAGCGGTATGCATGGTGAGCATATCTCATTGCCCATGGATGGCATGTTTGCTCTGCATCCAGCACTGTGAGGGGGGCAACCTTGGTTTTAGAGAGCTCTCCTTGCCCAGTGCAGAAGTGTCAGAGTGGCTTTTATCTCCCAACACAGTACAGAGCCTTAGAAGCCAGAGAGTGGACTCATGGCACATCTGGACATCAGATGGAAAGTGGGAAATCTGAGTGAGTTCATGGCTATTTTAAATTCTTTCTTTTTGCCCAAAGCATGGGTGGACATTCCAGTAATGCTGCTCAAAGCTCCCATGTTCTGTCTTGCTGGTGTGTACATGGGTGGCGTTGAGTGCCTGTGCTTTTGGGAGGTGGGGATATACTGAAGGGTGGCTTTTAATTAAAACAAAACAAAACAAATGAGAAACAAAAAAACCCTAGCTGTGTATTTGAACATTTCTTGCCTTTCAGCAGACACCTGGTTTGGCATCAAAGGAGTAAGTGGAAGCCTTCCTTGTAAAACGAGACACCAGTCCAAACATCTGGTCCCTTCCTTGGAAGAATAAAGCAAGCACAACCTAAACCTCAGGTTCTTTCATTTGAGTTCATGCCTGTTCTCCTAAACCTCCTTTCCTTCTAGTACGACTATCAAGCCAGAGCCAAATGCATTCACAAAGTGTGGGCAAGTCTCCTCAAGACCATGGTTGTTGGTTTGGTTGGGTGTTTGGTTTTAGTTTTGGTTTCTTTTGGATTGTTTTGGTTTTTTTTTTTGGTGGTTGTTGCTGTTGCTTTTTTTGGTTGGTTGGTTGGTTTTTTGGTTTGGTTTGTCTTTTTTAAGTGTTAGTTCATTTGTGCTGGTTGAGATTTGTTCTTTTCGGACGGGAGGGAGAAGTGCCAATACAGTCAAAGGCTCCTCCAACACTAATGCATTCACTGGCAGTACATCGGATGGGTCCCTACCTGTGACTGCACGTTGGCTCCAACCTGGGCCCCTTGGTAAGAATCCCCATTGAGAGACTGCACGCTCATGAACAAATCTCCAGAGTTTGACATGTTAAAAGAACTGGAAGAACCTGGAAAGAACCTGAATCACAGAAAGGAAAAAGATCCACCCCATGACTCTCAGCCAAGAGGAAGGAACAACATGCAAAGCAACCACAAAAACAAAACACACAGTCAGGTTAGTAGTATGAAGAACAGAGCAAGCAAAAAAAAGGATGCACTCTTGAGGTTATTCAAAGCCACATGTTGTTACAGCTCAATGCCAAGAACATTCTTCAACAGCTCCTCAGCTGGAGGAAGGATTCTTCATGCTTTTGACTGAGACAAACAAAGCCCAGCCTGGAGGATTCAGACAGCCTTTCCCTTAATTTCAGGGCATCAAAATCCTTCAGGCAGCTTTGAAAAATCTTGGTTGCTGGCAGCGTCCACCCAGCAGACTGCACTGGAAAAGAAAATTACCCAAACAAGCCTAATTATCCAGAGCAGAAGGCTGTTAAGCAGGGCAAAGCAGACCCACACTACTGCTGCTTCCGAGCTCAGATCAGGGTGGCTTAAGTCTACACCGCGCTGCTGTCTGCAGGGTGAGCACATCCAGAACCATCCAGTTCCACAGCTGGAGCTCCTACTGAGCCATAGGGAGCTCTGCAAGGGAGTGATGCTTAGGGTTTGCCTTCAGTACATAAGGAACCCATCACTGGTGGGAACCGGGAGTGAAGGCTTGCAAAAATGTGAAGACACCTGGGCTCGACTCCCAGTACCCACCATGGTGGCAAATGTCTTTCATCATGATGGGCCATGAGAGAACGCAAGGGTGTCACCTCCCTTCTGTGCCAGCTGCCCCAGAAGAACAAGCTCTTTAAGGAAATTCCCCAGTGCATGCACCAGTCACCAATGTTACACTAAAAAATTATGACAGTGAAGACAGTTGGGTGGGATCAGGAGGAAAAACCCCCCAAAATAGAAAAAAAAATCCCGCCTTTGCAGAAACAAGGTTTTCTGCTTCCAACTTCGAGATATCCGAGCACCTCCTCAACTACTGAACAGGAGAAACCAACCCATCATGTAACTGGAAGGCGGGGAAGGGGATTAAAAATAAATAAAAAGGTTTTATGGGATTATTTCAGAACTTATCGTGCAGATCAGCGCGTTAAGTGTGAGACAGCTCAACGTGCAAGGTTTGGTTATATACATGACGTTAGCCTTGGAAAGGAGAGACTTCAGGGGCCCAGGTCAGCTACACTTTCAGCTCCAACCCCAAATACACTCTCATCATCTTCACTGCCACTTCCAACCTGGAAGACCGGCAACCATAGTCCTGGTGGAATTGCCCAACTATGGCTAATGCATGCACTCTGAGAAACACCTGGCAATCCCCCTCCCTCTGCTGGAAAGGGAAGAAACACTCTGGACAGACCCTAGCTCTGCCCTGGAGGTAGACCAGGAAGGCTCCTCTGAAGGAAGCCACCTCCAAGAAAGGTCAGGAAGAGGTGGGAGCTCTATGCTGGAGACTTCATGTTCACTAAACTCTCTTTGCAACTGTTCTCTTTGCAGCTGGCTCTTTTGTCAGCTGCTGGTAATTCTCAGCATCGAAGGAAAGCAGAAACATCACTGCTAGATACAATGTCCAAGACAGTCAAGAGAAAAGACTCATCTTGAGCACTGTGAGTCTTGGATCCGGACACGCCCACCGGTGCCTGAAAAGAGCAGAGCCAGGAATAGCTTATTGTCTGTTCTCACTGTCAACCCTGCCCAACCTGTTCCAGAGATCAATCCCACAGTGCTGCTGCATAAAATAACTGGGACTAGTCAGAAGGCAGCTGTAACTATCGCCTCCTCTGCTCAACTGGCAAAGGCCTCCTGTCACTTCCCAACCTCTCAGGTTACTTGCTGTTTTAAAGACAAAAAGCCTAGGGAAATGAGATGGCAGACTGAGGATAGCCCACTCTGACACTGCTCAACTTTAAGCACGAAAATGGGCACTTTTCACATGTGTCTTTGGATGCTTCCCACTCAGTTTTCCGAACGAACACTTTGACCAAGGGTGTAAAAGCAGAGGCCGTGAAGTAATGTGGCTTCATACTCCCACAGTGGCTGAGAACCAAAGGACTTTGCAGCTACCACTCGCAAGAAGCAGAGAATATTCTCCTGTTCTTTTAAGGTGCGCAGAAACCTTTGAGATCACACAAATGATCAGTGGCAGAGCTGGGAAGAGGACTCAGGAATCCCTGAGCACCTCACAGGGCACTGCTATAGCACTCTGCCACCAGCAGACCAACATTTTATCCCACTTTCCCCTACCAACAGAAAATTGTAATAATAAAAACAAAAAAAAAAAGCCATAAACTTAACGGGTATTTTATTGAAACTTAACAAACCTGCCTGTAAAATTGAGACTGGGAGGGAGGAAATAAAAATAAACAAACAGCCACAAACTCTAGTTCTGAAGAGCGCCAGTGTCTTGAAAATCATGAGGAGTGCTGGAGATGTCACTTACAAGATATACACTGCTATTGGCACAGGGTATTTTTACAATATATGTGCATATCTAAACAGTAAATATGTCTTGTTGTTGATGTGGATGCAAAGATAAATATGCGCATACCAATGGCCCTGCATGTATGGATGCATTTGTATCAGAGCCGTAATTGCAGAGAGCCCTTCACGCTGCCACTCTGCTGCTTCAGCACTCTGCTGTCTATGTACTAGCCATGTATGAAAATTATGATGGTCCAAAGTCTGAGAGATACAGCTAAGAGGGGCTGATGCACTGGGGTGGGAGAGGGGGCAGGAACGTGAAGATCCCTGAAAATTACGATTGGTATCTTCCACAGAGACAATATCTGGGAATACAAGTCAAATCCTTCCACTAGAGAAGGCTCAACCATAAATCTAATCTGTCCCTCTGCAATGCTCCACTGTGAACACAGTAAAGGTCTTCAATGGTCATAATGTGGTTGGGAGCTCCTTAAGAACTGAGAAGTAACAACCATCTCTGAGCTTGTGAAGCCAGGAGGAAAGGGCTCTGATCTTGGCATGGAAGTCCCTTGATGCTATTCTGTGCAGACCAAGCCCCCTCCCCCCCAAAACACCAGAAAAGTCAGCAGTTTTCATGACTTGTAGCAGTGTGGAACAACAGATTCTTTTCAGCATTGAGATTATCTTATCAAACCAAAGACCTATCATCACTATTCCTTTCTGTTGGGTCATCACCAGCTTCAGAAAGAGTGCGAGAATGTTTAGAGAAGCTACGGCAGTCGGATCTTGCTACTGGATGAAATCCTGCATCAAAACAATGCCCACAAAGAGGTCTCTTCCACCCCTAACATTTCTGATGTGCAAAACCCACTCCAGTTTTGCCTCCAATTCAAAAATCTGCACAAGCTTGTCTGCTGGCATTTCTTGCACCACTTCTCCAGCTCTCCTGAGACCTTCTTCTCCAGCCTCTCTGATGTTTTCTCTAGTGTTTTGACAGTCTCTACTTCCACCTCAAATTTTCCAGGACCTCTAGTAAGTTCTTTTCTCTAACATACCTGACAATTCAAATGGCATCACAGATAAACAAACACAGTAATTGTGTTCACTGGAGCTGAAATCAAACCATCCTTATCTGATGCTTCATACCACCTACCACCAATGAGACAAGAGATCCAGCACACTGAACCATTTAAGTAGACTTTCGTCATGTATAGAAGACTTCTAGTTGAAGTCAATGGCGATGACATATAACCATTAACACCCCCCTGTAACATTTTCCTTGTGTTTCTACCATGGCCAAAGATGAGGGAAGAACTTGACGGACCATGTAGCTCCTCAGCTGGACAAAGCCACCGAGTCTCATAACAGATCTAAAAGCCAGGGATGACCCAGCAGGGCATTTGTTCTTTTTTACTTGCTAACCAACACTCAAGATAGTGAGACTATAACTACAACAGCCTCTCTGCTGAAGCAGGGTCCTCTCCCATGCTGTGCTCTGGACAAGTGATTGCCACAAATGGAGGAAGGCAGAGAAGAGAAGATACAGCCATCAGGCCTGTGTCTGACAACATACACTTCCAGACAACACGATCCCCTCCATCAGCAGCTTTACAAGATTTTCACAAAACAAAAGGGCGAGCAGGAAAAAAACATTTCAGGACAATTTTGGCTGCTCTGCATGGAAGATTTCACTGGATGCCATCACCTGTGTGTGGCCCTTGAGGACTCTGGTTGGCAAAAGGGTCTGCCCACATAAAATAACTTCCATTTGCCATGCGGTTTTTGTGCTGAGATTGTCCAGGCGATCAAAGCGAGGATGGGGAGTTGTTAGCCCAAATGAGCCAGGCATCTCAGCTTATTCGAACATCTGGCTGATAAAGCCCAACTGTGTGTATTCAGGATGAAAAGGTGTTTGACATTCAGGCCTGGGTGACTGAGGATGGGGGACCCTGCTTTGTATGTGCCAGATGGCTAGACAGATGCAATCCTTGCCCTTGTCAATGTGTGGCCAATCTCTTTGACTGACTGTAGCCATTCACCAATCTCCGGTAACATGGCCATCAATGCAGAGAACAGATGGGCCTGCGTAACCATGGCAAAAATGAATTTAAGTCCTGTCCCAGGTCCCACTGCATCCAGTTCTACCTCCTCTTCCAACATTGTGGCACTCCAGGGACTACACTGCTGGTCGCTTCTTTCTCATGACCTGTCCTCTGCCTACACCCTTTCTTTCCACATGCCCTACAATGTATTTAAACCAGAAGGTCTACAAATTCTCATCAAACCCTATATTTGTTCAGGCTCCCTCCTCAAAAAACTTGCAGCTGACAATTTGAAAGAAGTCCATGGTGTAAAAGGAGAAGCATCATCCATCTTAGTCCTTCACCTCTTCATCCACTCCCACATTCCTTCCAGGGTAATTCAGCACATCTGGATGGCTCATGACCCTTGACAGCATGCTCCAAAGTTTTCAAAGACAGGTATTTCAGACCTAGCATGTATAGGTCTGCTTCTTGCTGATAGCACCTACAGGACAACCTGCATCAGGGGAGGTCACTCAACTCTAGATGTCCTCAGGACATGCCTTTACCCCACAGTGTGACAATGCAGGGATGCTTGACTGAGCTGTTACATCTGCATGGTTCAGCTGGGGAGATCTCAACCTGGGATGCCACTGTTGGAGATAAAATCCTGAGGCTCTTCCAGTATCCAAATGTACCATTTCTGCAAGATGACCTAGAGACTACTGCAGTGTTGACAGCAAGGCCTCCCTGCTGCTCTGCCACTGCTGTAGTATACAAGGAGGGTGGTGGGATCTGGGCCAGGTTAGAAACACTTCTAGCAGAAGAAGGATCTCCACGGCCCACAAGCTCCCCTCACACTGATGTGCTGCTTTAGCACTGCCACATTAGACACCCGAAAAGAGGTCAGTGTTTCTAGAGTGCAGACAAGTGAGCCAGAAACAGGACCCAGGAGCTCAAGTCTTACTCGTTAATAACAAGACTGTTTGTCCTTCGTTGAAAGCGTAGTGTTATCCAGGGATTATCTTAGCTGTTTACTGCAGGGTACTGGCCAATTTATCTTTGAAACAGCTGTCTTACTGCCTGTGGGGAAGGCAAAGAAACAACCTCACACCAGAGCACTATTTAACTAGGAAGGCACTGGGGAAATGCCTATTCCACTACACGCAGGCCAGACCCAAACCCATTTAAAAAATTTGAAGCTTTTCCCTTGCTATTCCAGACCGCTGGATCTGACCCCAGTGTAAGAAAGCAGAAAAGAAGGAAAACTGTGCCTAAGTTGATGTGGACTTCAGGACAGCATCACAGGCAGTAAGCATCTCCCTCAACACACACCATTGTGCTCTCTACTCCCCAGCTTTTTCTACAGGGGGGTGTCAACATCAAGAGACCCCACATGACCAGATATTTTGAATGAGCTGTTTGGAAAGGACAACATTGTAAAAACTGCAGCTAAATCTTGAGCAGTTCAAACAACAGAAGGAAAAGGAAAAAGAAATCAAACAAAACAAGAAGAAAAGAATCAAACAAAATTCCTGCACACCATCTGTCCCTACAGAACTCTGCTGCATCCACCAGAGCCTTCTGAGCACCTCAGTCAAGCCAGAGCAGGCAGCCCTGTGTGTGGAGATGCCCTTCAGCTGTGTTTCTGACCTGCAACCAAAAGCTGCAACAGCTCTGCTCTAGGTGGCTCTGGGGGGGCAGACCCTTAGCAAGTAACATGTCCCCTGGAAATTCAGAGGTTGTGTGTAGAGACTTCGCTGCCCAAGTGAATAAGCCTTCTATCATTTGCTTCTGTGCAAGCCATCCACATGAGTCTGCAAGGTGCGGACAAGTTCCCCAGTACAATGAACCACTGCTTACTACATTAGCTCACAGATAATGGACTGCCTTTGCCTTCCCACTGAGGGGCTGGTTTGGGAGATCAGCCAGAGACTTATACCACTGGTTTCTCCCCCTGTATGACCCATGGCTCTCCACTTCCCACTCAAATCTTCCAGATCTGGGGGTGCCTCTGAGATGCAAATTGTCTGATATCTCTCACAGGCAGGATTGTGCTCACTACAGAAGCATGTCCTGCTAGCAACCACCATTTGCACAGTGTACCACTGGTGCTCTATTTAACACCCAGCTTCTCCTGCTGCCTGCCATCCTCTTTGCTCTTCCACCATTTCCTTCCTCTTAGTAGCCTACCTGATAACAGCAAGCATCACGCCCATGTGAAAGGGTACCATGAGCTGACACCAAGCTGACACCAAGAGTGGCACATTCCCACTCTCCCTCCCACCCCTAAAAAGAAAACAGGCAGATAGATATTTGCATGGATAACCAAGTACATGGCCCACATGAAGTTCAATTTTTTTCTCTCCTTTTCAATAAATCCCAATTTTGCATCACTCTTGGGAGCAGAGCACAACCAGTCGACCGCAGCCCAGGATCATTTTTGGGTCAGCCATCCTTGTGGCAGGCAACACGCATGAACTAAGCATCGTTCTCTAGCGGAGGAGTTGCAATCTGGGCAAAGTGCTCTGTGCCTTTGACCCTCAAACCAAACAAATGTATACCACAGCAGATGGGCAGGAAAGGGGGAAAGGGAAGGGAACAACCCATAGATTCCCCTGGATCGCGCTGACACAGAGGGAAAATAAAATTCACACAGAGCACACTTTTGCAGGTGATTCAAACACTGTCATGTAAGCAATCAAAGGTAACCACAACAGAAAGAAAATCAACAATCTACCCAAAACAACCCCCCACGTCATGAATTAGGACATCCCCAAAATGCTGGGGTTTAGCCACTAGGGCCACTCATGCTTTCAGCCCCAGTGAAATAAAATCATTATGCAACGAGTTCTTTATTTTTTTTCTTTTTGCTCCCCCCAAAGTGCAAGCAATCCCAGCAACATTTTATGGACCATATTTCTGGTTTTGTGTTTACCATCCATGCATATAATCCCCAAGGTGGCATCAGTTACAAGGTCTTATCACATGTTTCCAACGAAAACAGAACAGAAAAGCAGAAGAGAAAAAAAGAGGAAAGAAAAAAGAGAGGGGAAAAAGGCAAAGAAAATAAAGTACCCGCAAAAACAACCCAAAAATCAAATCCCATCTCTGTCTTTTTTTACAGACCACAGAAGTGAGCCAACCAAAACCAGAAAACAAAAATTGAAATAACCAAAAGAGGAAAATAGAGAGAAATTAGAGGGAGGGGAAGAACAAACAAAAAACCAAACACTAATGACCCAAAATAAAAAAGAAAACAAAAACTAACCAGCTGAATTGGGAGTTGAGGGTGAGTTAGCCTGGCTTCCATGGGCTGACACATTGGTAGCCGTGACAGCCGTTTTGGCAGCATAAATATTGGCTTCCTCTTGAAATTTACCTATGTTCTTCTTGTACCGGATTCTCTTATTTCCAAACCAGTTTGATACCTAGAGTGAGTTTAAGAGAAGACAAAGACATTAACGTTTCAGCTCTGGCAAGTGTGGCTGGGTGAGGAAAGTGGATTAGTTCAGGTTAAGTGGTGCATATTCTTTTTTCCCTCCCACTTTCCTAGCTGTGGAAGGAAGCACCTTCTACCCACGTGTGTTACACCAAGCTCAGGAAAGGAGGCGAGACCCTCTTGGGAGCACTGGGTTGTGTGGATATATCTGGTTCCTCTATGGATGGGATGTCCACTAAGAGGATGCTCTACAGGAACAGTTAGACCCATCCCATAAAAATATGAGATGAGTTTAAATAAACCTGAGAAAGTCAAATGACTCTGAAATTGCACAATCTGAAAACACGTATGTGTCATTTTAGGACTTTTTATTTGCTTCCTCCTTGGTATCCCTTTGACAGGGACAGATGCCCTGATTCCCAGCTGCCCCTTCTCCCTTTGGAGAGTGTGGCTTTCAGGGAGAACAGTGAATGAATTTACTCAGGCCTGGCTGACATGCAAAAATACCTTGGCATCACTGAAGCTCTGCTTTTGATCCAACTGAGTGAAATCAGTGCAAAAGGCCAGAAATGGTTGCTCTTCATCTGGCTGAACTCAGCTTTGTATGGTTTAGCATGAGCCACTACGTAAACCAGGAGTGTCAGGGGAAGGCTAGAGAGGGAGCACAAGGCTCATTCTAAGACCTAACTTTGGTCCCAGGGTACAAGTGTGTTCCTTGGAAAGGGGCAGGAGATTGTGTTTGCCCAGAGACCAGCATGGGCCTGAATTCAGTGCCTAGAATTGTGCTGAAAGGGGCTAGTGGATTTATTTAAAAAAATTAAGAAGCTGTATGAACTTCTTCACAAGTCATGGGGATGGCTGAAAATTATGGGCCAGATCTGAAGGCAGAATGAAGTGGTGCAGCTCTGGTCATGCCAGTCCTGGTGAAAGCTGTTTCCCTGTGCCTGCAGCAGTACAATGCACAAACCCCAGAAAGCCCCACGGAGAGGTCTGAGCAGTGACCCTTGCAGACTGTCAGAGTGGTATCCTGGGATCAGAAGTATGAATGTTTGAAAGAAAGGTTGCTTCGTCAACCTGCCAGGTGCCTGGATAAAATGCCCCAAAATTTGCATGTCGGAGGTTCAGCACAGTGACAATACAACTCTGAAGTCTATGGAACCAGGCTGTGGTATCCAGGCAGAACTGCTTCCCAGGGAAAATGTCAGGGTACCTCCCAAACCACCATGAATTCAGTGTTTCCCAAATCCTACTCATCACTCTGCTGATTATAATTCTATTTACTTAGGGCACTATGTTGCACTGAACAATTTCAGAGATGTGGGAAATACTCAACCTACAGTTGGTGAAGCAACTCTCAATTTGACAACACCAAATACAGAGTACCAGGGGAATATCTTCCTACATGCAGCTCTCTAAGCAGAAGACAACTTCCAGTCACTACTGACCTTGTTTGGAAAAGCTCAGCGGGATGAAAAGAATGAGCAAATGCCAGAGGATGCTGCAACTCTCCTAAGAAGAGCTCCAACACTCCCAGGATTGATTTGAGCTGCAATCTTGAGCTAGCAGATCAACCTCTTTGGTGAAACTCCAAAGATATTCTCCCTTTGCTTGCTGGTGAGCAAATAAATTAGTGCTTCCCTTTTCAAATGGACTATTCAAGCACCAAGACACAGAAGACAATACTGGCTGTTCATCCTGGGAAGCTCATGATTTTTTCCTCATCTTAGGAAAATTCTTTTGGCTTGAGTGTTGATAACTGAAACCCGTATGCTTTCATTCCTATGATGCTTTCTATCTGCAGTGATCCTAGAGCATTCAGCAGCTTCTGTGCAGAAGTGGCTGCTTCTACCAGTTCACCTGCTACTGAATGGCAGGTATCCAATGCTGTGCTGCTGCAGAGCAGGAATAAGAAAATACAGCCTGTACAGACTCAGCACCCAATCTAGATCTGGGAGTGAACATTTGGATGGCACCAGAAGGTGCTGTTTGCAAGGAGCTCGATTCCATTTCTTGGTCCAGCTTTCCCATTAATGACAATGTGCTCCTTCATGAACTTACCCCCTGGCCATCTCTACAACAGCTCTTCCAGCTTCAAACGCTGAAGCCAGTGGGCAGAAGGTGCTGTTTGCAAGGAGCTCGATTCCATTTCTTGGTCCAGCTTTCCCATTAATGACAATGTGCTCCTTCATGAACTTACCACCTGGCCATCTCTACAACAGCTCTTCCAGCTTCAAACGCTGAAGCCAGTGGGCAGAAGGTGCTGTTTGCAAGGAGCTCGATTCCATTTCTTGGTCCAGCTTTCCCATTAATGACAATGTGCTCCTTCATGAACTTACCACCTGGCCATCTCTACAACAGCTCTTCCAGCTTCAAATGCTGGAGCCAGTGGGTGAACTCTGAGTACCACAGGGAAGGAAGTTGGGATAAACGACCACTACAATTGATCTTCACCTTGGAAGTTGTGAAGCAAAGAACTTACCTACCCCAGTCAGCCTTCAAGTTCCGATCAACCGGGCTTATGAGTTGCACAGATTCATACTGTCTCATGTTCACACTTAGCCTCAGCAAAAGCAGAGACCTGGATGTTTGTTTATTTGGACGAAGAAGGAAGGGAGATTCTGAAGACAGGCACAAAGCAGCCTTGATACAGCACAGTCAAAAAATATCCTAAGTAAGTGCAGCATTTCTCCTGGGCATTTTCTCTTTGCAAGGGAAAAGTTGTAAGTGTGAATAGATGAATTAAAAGTGAGAGGGGAGGCATCAGGACAGCTGTAGTTTTACTTAAGCCAATATGTGCTATTTCTCATTGGTAACTCTGGGCAGAATCAATGTTTGGGTCTTCTAACCCAGGGGATGCAATTGGAGTCACTCAGCAGGCATTCAACATGGTGACAACACCTACCGTTGGATGCTGTTGCTCCTGCTGA